CCCCCCCCCCCCCCACCAACCACAGGGTCCATCTGAGGGTCATTCCTGGTCACTCCCATGCCACACTAAAGGACAGCTGAGGCATCATGGGTTTGATCCTGCCCTGTAGAAGTGTCCATTGAGGCTGAAAGAGGGAGCAAGAGGTCAGAGCTCCTGCCAGCCTTCTTCACCAGCTCCCTGGATACCACTTCCTGTGAGAAGTCCTCCCCGATCCTGCCAGATGGAATCAGGTGCCCTGCGAAGCTCCCACATCCCCCAGTGACCCTCTCTCCTTGCTGGGATACGGTGGTTCAGTGGACTCGTCTGCATCGCCCCAAGACCGTGAGCTCCTTGAAGGCCAGTCCAGGTCTTATCATCTCAGCTCCCCAAGTGTCTACCCCGGGGGCTGAACACAAGTCAGGCTGACCTACCAAGGGAGGGAGAAAGAGCCGGTGAGCGAAGGGTGGACCTCGAGTGACAAGGACCGCCAGTGCTAAGGGAAGTTGGAGGACTCACAGCAGCGTCCTTGGATAAGAAGCAGAAATGGAGTCTGGCTGAGCAGAAATCACCCCACGCGCTATCTTCGGGCGGAACAGTCTGACCAGTGAGAACCCTCCAGGGCCAGGGCGGCCAGGACACTTGGTCCCAATGCCAGACCACTCTCAGGCTCTCTGATGTGGTTGGAAGGAGCAGGGTTCGGAGCCCATGGCCAAGAAAGAATTCTTGAGACATCTTCGGTGCAAAGAGGGTGGTTTTATTAGGGTACAGGGACGGGACCTGTGGGCAAAAACAGCTGCACTGGGGTTGTGAGGAGCGACTGGTTATATAAGATTTTCTATCCTATGGAGGAGAGGGTGATGTTAGGGCTCCAGGAAATTGAGTTATAGGTTTCTGGGGGGAAGTGGGGTCTGATTATTGATAAGATTGCTTTTTTCTTACAAAACATAAAGCCAGGGGCTCCTGGCTGACTCAGTCGGTTAAGTGTCCGACTTCGGCTCAGATCACAGTCTCACGGTTCGTGAGTTCGAGCGCCGCATTGGGCTCTGTGCCGATAGCTTGGAGCTCGGAGCCTGCTTCGGATTCTGTGTCTCCCTCTCTCTCTCTGCCCCTCCCCTGCTCGCACTCTGTCTCTCTCTGTCTCTCTCAAAAATAAATAAACATTAAAGATTTTTAAAAAATTACAAAACACAATAAATCATTAAAACAGTTGCAAACCGATGGAGACCCATGTCCCGCATGACTGTGATCTCTATCAGTTAACCACTTGTTTTTTCCTTTCCCTTTCCTTCATTCTTGGACAGCCAGGAGCCTGAGAATGTCACACATATCCCACCTGGGGACAGGAATAGGGTTCTGGGGTGTTACCTTGCGCTTTGTCCTCAGCTTGCCTTTTGCTCCCTCCTCACCTCTACCTTCTTCCCTCCCTGCATTTGGATCTCTAGGGCTTGGAGTCCCTAAACACCGGCGGGAGTGGCCCCGGTGTTTGTCCACCTGACTTAAAATCCAGGAACTCTTGGGGCGCCTGGGTGGCTCAGTCCGTTGAGCATCCAACTCTTGATATTGGCTCAGGTCATGATCCCAGAGTTGTGGGATCAAGCCCCAGCACTCTGCACGGAGTGTGGAGCCTGATTGGGATTCTCTCTCTCTCTCTCTCCTTGTCTGTCCCTCTCCCCCACTCACATGAGTACAGGGATTCTCTCTCTCTCTCTCCCTCTCTCTCAAATAAAAAATTAAAAAAAAAAAAAATCCAATAGCTGTCCACATACCCAGATGGGCCATGACTGTCCCCAGCCTCAAAGTGAGCTGCGTTCTACGTTCTGCTAAGTCTGGGAGACACAGAGTCAAGGGCACAAATTTTGGGATCAGCCAGGCCAACAGTCCTTTGAGCAAGTTGCGTAACTTTGAGCTTTAGGTTCGTAGACTCTGAATCAGGGCTGGTGAGAGGACAAATGGAGACAGTGTGGGGAGGGTGCCAGGCCGGCAGGTGAAGGCTAGCTCTTGTGACTGTTCTCACCCGGTCCAGAGGATGAAGTCTGGCTTGGGCTCGATCTCCTTCATGGCATAGATGGAGGAGTTGATGAGGACCCAGGGAGAGTCGCAGAGGTAGTCACCCCAGGGGCCTGCATTGGGCACCGGCTGGGAGCCAGCTGATGGGCACACCTGGAGGGGGTCTTCAGATACCTTGTAGTCAGGGTCAAGGTGCAGGTCCGAGATGTGCCAGAACTTCCCTGCAGAGGAAAGGAGACCCTCTTCAATGCTGGTCCCTCCCTGAGCCTGGATGGCGAAGACGCCCAGGGGTACCCTGGGCTGGGAGAGAGCAAGCTGTAAATGTGAAATGAAGTTTCCTCTGAAGCCAGCGTTCAGAGAAAAAGAGCCACAGGTCTGACTTTGCCCAGGGAGGCACTGAGAGTAGGAGAGAAAAAGACTGGCTCTGTCCCTGCCCTGTGACCTTTGACCTTCCCCATCTCCCCACCTCAGGGGACCCAGCAGCAGCATGAAGGATTGGGCTTCGTGACCCTCAAAGAATCCTTTGGGAGTTAGTTCTAAGCAGAGTGCCTGTTTTAAAGCAAAGTTTGGGGAGGGGCACCTGGGTGGCTCAGTCGGTTGAGCGTCCAGCGTCAGCTCAGGTCATGATCTTGCGGTTTGTGAGTTCGAGCCCCGCATCGGGCTCTGTGCTGCCAGCTCAGAGCCTTGGAGCCTGCTTCGGATCCTGTGTCTCCCTCTCTCTCTGCCCCTCCCCCACTCATGCGCTGTCTCTCTCTCTCTCTCTCTCTCTC